TATTCATGTAACTTATTTCCATTCACAGACCGTTTTAACTTGAGTCATACCACTATGCATATTCATTAGTTCATGATTCAGTTAGCAGTGCTGCAAAGTAGAATGAAATATCCTAAATATTGTGACAAAAATATCCTGGTGTTTTGACCCATGACCCTAGAATTAGAAGGCAAGTATAATGACCAAGCTACAACTTGACTTGCATTCAGCATTTTCAGAGGTCTAAGATCTTGTGCGAGTCGCAAGAGACTCATAGAAATCCGCCTTGCATGAGCAAGCAAGAATGTCACAGAAAATAACCCATCTCCCATAAATCATGATATAATTATGCATTTTACTATGTTTTATCAATTGTCTAACAACTGGATAAAGAATGCCCTCATTCAGATTTAGAATCGGAGTATATCCCTGCCTCGAATCCGCTATAGTGAAGTATTAACATAGTATTTATTACTACATTACTTCCAGAAATCCATGAATACCATGAGCTGTTGCATGATATATCAGAATGGTATGATCGACATAGATGTATCGGTATGCTGAAAGTATTGTACAGAGATAATGTGACTAATGCTAATACACTGCATAATGCTACTAAAACGCGTGACTTGCTGAACAACTTGCATATCTCTGGGAGTCTGAGTCCAACTGATCCTAGTATTCTGTATGACACCATAAATGTAACAAAACAATTTGGTTTCAGACCAAAGAATAAGAAGCTGCGTCCATTATTCCAGAATGATAGAAGTTTTGAAATATCAAAATTTACACCGCACAGGCAAAAGCTTGTAAGACTAGGAATGGCATTGTTTCAAGATGATGTAGCAACTCTTGATGGTATGTATAACATACCACCAAAGAACTATAAAAACAGTTGGCAATTGATATTGGATCTAGAGCACAGATGCGTAATTCGTCAAAAAAATATGGAAGAATTCATTCAAAGATTGAAGAAAGCCAAACTCTCTTTAGCTGTAGAAATTTTTACAAAAGGTAAAGTTTATAATAGAATCTATGGTTTATTTAATTTTTATAAATACCTTGAAGACAACACTTTCAAATTCAATTGAAAATACTTGCAAAAAGGCTACCAAGGAGGCTATCATAATATTTATTATTGCTTCATCTTTCACTATATTATTTGTTTTTGATGTTGAAACAAGCAGTTAGATGAAATATTAAAAACTGGATTATTGATTATATGCTAAAAAGTTGAATATGTCTTTGTATCAGCAACACTCACTGAAGTAGTGCATTCCACTTACTTATTAATATGCTTCCTTCAACTGTAACTGTAAATGTAATTTAAATATAAATTATTTCTCACCTGCGTAGCTTTTGTAGACAACTCCTCATTCAATAATTTTAGAGATAAGTGTGAGCGATGGAGACATTGAGGCATTGCCATCACTAACATGGATAGTACTGCATTACGTTTCTTTCTTTATAGTAACAGTCTTAGATAGCCACAATATATATTGATTTCAATATTTTCAGAATGTAATATAAAGACTAATATATATTATGGTATACTGATATTTCATTCACTACAACTGTAGATCAAGTGCCTCTTGAAGTACAGGCTAGAGGCCCAGAGGCTTACAATGCATTTATTGAGGCACTAAAAGAGGGCAGCAAACCTATCTACCAAACACGCCTTATGTTTGTTGGACCTCAGCGCGTTGGAAAAACCAGTCTTGTCAAGGCCCTTACTGGACTAGAGTAAGTTGTCAGTTTGATGTGTTTCTAAAGACATTTTTAAAGCAGTTTGTGATCAGTAACCTGGATGTACAAAAGTAAACAGGTTCACTTTATTGCTTCATCTTTCACTATATTATTTGTTTTTGATGTTGAAACAAGCAGTTAGATGAAATATTATGGATTATTGATTATATGCTAAAAAGTTGAATATGTCTTTGTATCAGCAACACTCACTGAAGTAGTGCATTCCACTTACTACTTATTAATATGCTTCCTTCAACTGTAACTGTAAATGTAATTTAAATATAAATTATTTCTCACCTGCGTAGCTTTTGTAGGCAACTCCTCATTCAATAATTTTAGAGATAAGTGTGAGCGATGGAGACATTGAGGCATTGCCATCACTAACATGGATAGTACTGCATTACGTTTCTTTCTTTTATAGTAACAGTCTTAGATAGCCACAATATATATTGATTTCAATATTTTCAGAATGTAATATAAAGACTAATATATATTATGGTATACTGATATTTCATTCACTACACTAGATCAAGTGCCTCTTGAAGTACAGGCTAGAGGTGAAGAGGCTGCATTTAATGAGGCACTAAATGAGGGCAGCAAACCTATCTACCAAACACGCCTTATGTTTGTTGGACCTCAGCGCGTTGGAAAAACCAGTCTTGTCAAGGCCCTTACTCAACTAGAGTAAGTTGTCAGTTTGATGTGTTTCTAAAGACATTTTTAAAGCAGTTTGTGATCAGTGACCTGGATGTACAAAAGTAAACAGGTTCACTATCTCATAATAAAGTGTTTGTTTCAAATATATTTATATATTCTTTTCAGATTTAACAAAAATGAAGGTATTACTGATGGAATTGATACATCACTGTCATGCACATTAAGTGTTAAGCATATCACTGACTTGAAACTGCAACCAGATATACCAACAGGTATATGAACCTACACCAATTCTATATTCCATGTTTTGAATATAGTAGATTGACCATATACTACTACAGTTTACCTCTTTAAAAGGTATTGATTTTGCATTAAATTACATTTAACTGAAACAATTATTTTCATTTTAAAGGAAAACTAATTAAAGCAAAGCAGAAATATTTGAGAGCTGTTGCAGAAAAGATGCTGCAAAAGAAACGTGGAATCAAATCAAAGGTTTGTATATGAAATACTATAGCAATTCAGTTCAAACCTTTTAGTGATTTATTGTCCAACAAATGATGTCAGTATCTTAATGACATAGGACTAATATTCATGTGTAAAAATAGTGCCAATTCAAATTTCATTCTGGTAAAAAAATATAAAACATAATGCTGCTCTTCGAAGATTGTCAAAAGTGTCTCTCTGGACAATATGGGCCTGCGTTAAAATAAAAAACTTTTAACTAGAAAATAAAATTAACTCTCAGTAGAAATATGGAGCTGATTACGCTAGAAAAGCTAGTCTCACATAGTAAATAATATTCAAATCAAGGTTGCTCCATAGCACTGTAAATACAATAGAAACAAATAGATAAATAATAATAGCAGTTCTCAAAGAGGAACAAGTTGTAATAATCGCATGAAGCAAAGCCCATCAACGAAAAGTTTCTTTAAAATCATTTGTATGAAAAATAAACTGTCTCTGGCTGGATTCTTCAAACCTACAAAATCTTGCTGTTAATGCAAGGTTCATATCCATTAGGCCAAAGAGACCACCTGGGTGTATGTGCAGTTCTATCTATACTTGGAAGGCAAACATCTTAATCAGTAGTGGATTCAAGGAAATGCCTAGCTTGCCCAGGTAGGGAGGAGGCCCCCCTCTAAATAGATTGTTCAAATTTTGTGAAAAATCGAGGTATAACGAAAATTATGTTCAAATTTTAAGTCTGACAGTGCAATTTCCGGCCATCTAGAAGTGCCATAATCACAAATATCCTTACCTCAGCCTCAACCCATGGAGGAGCTGAGGTGGTATAGATCCCCTATCTGTAGAAGTACCTCCCCGTGCCCCCTCTATTTTGAGTTTCTGGATCCCCCACTGTTAATCAGCAAGCTACAGCTTCACTTACATTAATGCAAGTCGCACAGAAATCGGTATGATTTTCTGTACTTCTGAGCAAACATGAAACTCACAGAAAATAACCCATCTCCCACAAATTCCTGATATTTGCATAATATTTTATTTAGCTGTTCAGCTGTTGGGTACCACCACACGCAGCAAAATAAAAATAGATGTGTTTTGAATGCTTGTTTAACCAGACCTCCCAGAAGTGGCTTCTTCCAACTTGTGACCCCTAGTTATAATAGTGTACACTATATGAGTTTTGTTTATATACTTGATGTGAAATCCAAATAAACTTTGATGGCAACAAATCTTTCAAGTTGAAAGATTTGTTATTTGGAATTTATTATGCTAACACGCATTGGTGTGCGATATGCCCCCATTTAATGCTTAACCCTTGTAAAATAAGAAAATGTATCGTCATGAACACAATCAGTGGAATTGTTATCATACCAAACTATAGAATGCGGAGTATGATGATGGTGTAGGAGTGTTTTCTTTATATTGTCATTAATATCGTTATTTCATAGAGTCTTGTCAATTTTAATATCATCATGTTTAAGAGTGTTATAGTACTTTCAGGAATCTCTGATAAACATTACAGTGAGCTGTTGCTGAATATGTCAGAATGGTATGATGCAATTAGCTCCCATCAGTTGGCCGAAAGTGTTGTACAGAGATCATGCAACTCATGTTTATATATATATAATGCTACTAAGACGACGTTCCGGAAACTATGGTCCGCGGCCCAAATTTGGGCCGCGAAACATATTTTGAGGGCCACGAAACCGTCTGGAAATGGAGAAAAATAACAAAGAGACGTTTCATCATGGAGAAAATAGTTTTTAATAAATCCTTTCATTGTTAAATACAGTACAGCGAATGCTTCGCTGGCACACACTGCTAAAGTGAAATATGATGCGTGTTATTTGAGTTACAAGCGGTTTTGTGTATGCTTTCTCGGGAGCTAGACACTGTATAACTATATACAGTATGTTATCGTCTAATATTAACCCTGTAAGATCGAGTAAATCGAAGGCCTGTCCTAGAGAAATCACTGCAGTAAACAATACCACACATTTGATTAAACCAAATGCCCATGTAGATACTTTATTACTAAACATAATACCTGTATAATAAGTTAGTCTTTCAAAGTTGCAGAGTAATCGAGTGTGCGTGAAAGTTTCTGGAAGAAGGAGACAGGTTATGACGTGTGTGGCTGAACCATGTAGAAAAAAAAAACAATCAACAATTATCGGGGTGGGGGAAGAACACAATTGTACGGTATTATTTATTTAATAAAATAATATTATTTTGATAATGATAATGTCAAAATATTGTATATACATGGAGGCTTCATGATCAGAAGGATTTGGTATGTTGGGCTGCTGAGCCGCAGCTTGGTGCCTAGAATCGTAAATAGGCCATGAAGTAAAAAGTTTGCGGACCACTGTACTAAGACGCTTGCATTATTCAGCGAGTCTTAAGTCCAAAAATCTTAGTGTTCTGTATGGCATCATAAATTAAACTAAACAATTTGCCTTCAAACCAAAATATAAGGAACTGCTTCCATTATTTCATTGAAAGATTGAAGAAACTCCTTTCGGTTGTGGAAGCTCTTATAGAAGTAAAGTTTAAAATAGAATCTATGGTTTAGTTAATTGTTCTAAATACCTTGAACACAGCACTTTACAGACTGACAAATTCCATTGAAAATCCTCTCAAAAAGGCTTCCAAATGCGGCTAGCATCCTATTGAATATTGCTTCATCTTTTACTATAAAAGTCCTTTGCAAATGAAAGATAAACTACATTTTAAATAAAGAAATAAACTGTCTCTGGATGGATTCTTCAAACCTGCAAAATCTTGCTGTTAAGGCAAAGTTCATATCCATTAGGCCAAAGAGACCACCTGGGTGTATGTGCAGTTCTATCTATACTTGGAAGGCAAACATCTTAATCAGTAGCGGATTCAAGGAAATGGCCAGCTTGCCCAGGTAGGGAGGAGGCCCCCCTCTAAATAGATTGTTCAATTTTGTGAAAAATGGAGGTATAACGAAAATTATGTTCAAATTTAAAGTCTGACAGTGCAATTTCCGGCCATCTAGAAGTGCCATAATCACAAATTTCCTTACCTCAGCCTTAACCCATGGAGGGGCTGAGGTGGTATAGATCCCCTACCTGTAGAAGTACCTCCCTGTGCCCCCTCTATTTTGAGTTTCTGGATCCTCCACTGTTAATCAGCAAGCTACAGCTTCACTTATTTTAATGCAAGTCGCACAGAAATCGGTATGATTTTCTGCACTTGTGAGCAAACATGAAACTCACAGAATATAACCCATCTCCCACAAATTCATGATACTTGCATAATATTTTATTTAGCTGTTCAGCTGTTGGGTACCACCACACGCAGCAAAATAAAAATAGATGTGTTTTGAATGCTTGTTTAACCAGACCTCCCATAAGTGGCTTCTTCCAACTTGTGACCCCTAGTTATAATAGTGTGCACTATATGAGTTTTGTTTATATACTTGATGTGAAATCCAAATAAACTTTGATGGCAACAAATCTTTCAAGTTGAAAGATTTGTTATTTGGAATTTATTATGCTAACACGCATTGGTGTGCGATATGCCCCCATTTAATGCTTAACCCTTGTAAAATAAGAAAATGTATCGTCATGAACACAATCAGTGGAAATGTTATCATACCAAACTATAGAATGCGGAGTATGATGATGGTGTAGGAGTGTTTTCTTTATATTGTCATTAATATCGTTATTTTCATAGAGTCTTGTCAATTTTAATATCATCATGTTTAAGAGTGTTATAGTACTTTCAGGAATCTCTGATAAACATTACAGTGAGCTGTTGCTGAATATGTCAGAATGGTATGATGCAATAAGCTCCATCAGTTGGCCGAAAGTGTTGTACAGAGATCATGCAACTCATGTTTATATATATATAATGCTACTAAGACGACGTTCTGGAAACTATGGTCCGCGGCCCAAATTTGGGCCGCGAAACATATTTTGAGGGCCACGAAACCGTCTGGAAATGGAAAAAAATAACAAAGAGACGTTTCATCATGGAGAAAATAGTTTTTAATAAATCCTTTCATTGTTAAATACAGTACAGCGAATGCTTCGCTGGCACACACTGCTAAAGTGAAATATGATGCGTGTTATTTGAGTTACAAGCGGTTTTGTGTATGCTTTCTCGGGAGCTAGACACTGTATAACTATATACAGTATGTTATCGTCTAATATTAACCCTGTAAGATCGAGTAAATCGAAGGCCTGTCCTAGAGAAATCACTGCAGTAAACAATACCACACATTTGATTAAACCAAATGCCCATGTAGATACTTTATTACTAAACATAATACCTGTATAATAAGTTAGTCTTTCAAAGTTGCAGTCTAGGATGATTTTCCTTTACATATATGAATTTTTTAGCTTTTCGTACTCTACACTTAGCTATCCGTAGCCAACCACATAGGCCTAGGTACGTAATATATTAGATCAGATGTTAATTACATAAAATGTAGGCCGACAGGAGTGGATTTCTTTTTTCGCGATTTACCATTGGATGGCAACCAATAATTTAGATAATAAAAATAAGTGTGAGTGATGGCAAGTTGAAGCATTGCCATCACTGCTGTGTACTACCACAATATGTATACTCAGAATGTGAGCATTCCAATCAGTTGTATGAAAGTGCCTGAGGGTTAGAACTGCACATACATCTCTGTGGTCTAATGGATATGATACTCACCTTCACAGTGAGAGGTTGCTGGTTCAAATCCTGACAGAGGAGCTGATTACGCTAGAAAAGCTTATGGGTCACATACAGTAGTAAATAATATTCAAATCAAGGTTGTTCCATAGCATTGTCAGGGGTGGATCCAGTGGATGGGGGAGCCATGAGGGCCCGTTCCCCCCTGTCGGTCAAGCTGAAAAATAAAAAAGGTGAGAAAAATTTGAGATAAAAAAAGGAAATGGGGAAGGGAGTTCAGTGGTGATCCAGCAGTGGGGTAAAGGAGAGCTCGATTGTTTACCACTTATTTACACCAACCATAGTGGGGCGGAGGTGAGCGTGGCGGCGTGAACTTCATGTTGTCCCCCCCTCCCCGTCAGAAAATCACTGGATCCGCCCCTGACCGTAAATACAATAGAAACAAATACATAAATAATATCAGTGCTCAAAGACGAACAAGTTGTAATAATCGTATCAAGCAAATCGTTTGTATGAAAAATAAAACTGTCTATGGCTGGATTCTCTGAACCTGCAAAATCTTGCTGTTAAGGCGAGGATCATATCCATTAGACAAAAGAGGGTATATGTGCAGTTCTATCTATACTTGGAAGGCAAACATCTTAATCAGTAGAGGATTCAAGAAAATGCCCAACCAGCCCAGGCCCCCCCCCCCTAAATAGATTGTTCAAATTTTTGGAAAAATGGAGATATAAAGAAAATTATGTTAAATTTTAAGTATGACAGTGCAATTTCCGGCCATCTAGAGCTGCCATAATCACAAATTTTCCTTACCTCAGGGGCTGGGGCTTAGGTGGTATAGATCCTCTGTGAAAGTACCTCCCTGGGCCCCCTCTATTTTGAGTTTCTGGATACGCCACTGTTAATCACCAAGCTACAGCTTCACTTGCCTTAATGCAAGTCTCACAGAAATCAGGACGATTTTCCGCACTTGCGAGCAAACATGAAACTCACAGAAAATAACCTAACTCCCACAAATTCATGATATCTGCATTGTTTTAGTTAGCTGTTGAGCTGTTGGGTACCACCAAAAAAAAAAGATAAAAATAAAAAAATAAAAATAAAAATTGATGTGTTTTGAATGCCTGTTTAACCAGACCTCCCAGAAGTGGCTTCTTCCAACTTGTGACCCCTGGTTATAATAGTGTACACTATATGAGTTTTGTTTATTAGTTCCTATGCATGTAATGCAATAGGAACTATTGTAATCACTCTTTTGTATATATATATATATATATATATATACATGTATACATATATACGTATATATAACGTATATATACATAATATATATACGTATATATATATACGTATATATATATACGTATATATATATACGTATGTATGTACACGTATATATGCGTATATATATACGTATAATATACATGCGTATATATATATACACACGCGTATGTATGTACACGCGTGCGCGTATTACATATATATATACGTGTATACGTATATATATATATATAATACGTGTATACGTATATATATATATATATAACGTATATATATATATATATATATACGTGTATATATATGTACGTATATATATACACGTATATATATATATATATATAGGGCCTATATACTTTTTAAGCCATGTATCATGCATAGGAACGTTGACGCCTACAAGGCTCTGGTTACTTGATGTGAAATCCAAATAAAGTTTGATGACAACAAATCTTCCAAGTGGATCGTAAAAAAATGGGCCTCATTTGATATCAGATTTAGAATATTCCTCTCTGGCATTTACTATGCTAACACACAAAGATGCTTCACTTGCTGGAGAACTTGCATTATTCTAAACTAAACAATTTGCCTTAAAACCAAAATATAAGGAACTGTTTCCATTATTTCAAAATGTCAAGGAAATTGTAATATCAAATTTTACATCGTACAGGTACAAGTTTGTAAAACTAGGAATGACATTGAATCAAGAGGATATAGCAATACTTGATAGTTCATTTAACATGCCACCAAAAATATATGAAGACAGTTGGCATTTTATTAGTGATTTAGGGCACAGAAGAGAAATTCATAAAATAAAAAAACGTGGAAGCTTTGCTTGGTTCGATTATTAGAACTTGTTCCTATTTGGGTTCTATTATTATTTATTCATTAGTTTCTCATATATACAGGAGAAGAAATGCATGAATAAAGATGAGCAAATTTTAACATATTGCTTCATTTTGACAGGTGCTTCAACTTCGTATGAGGAGGTGCTTAATCTGGTGAAAATGTTTCCACAAGAGAATGCAGCATCAACTCTACCAAATGTTACTAAAGAGGATATTCAACGTGTCTTAGAAATGATCCAAGAAATTGAAAAGCAAGGACAAAATGAAGGGTTAGAGAAGACAGTTGATGACTTGACTCTCAGCATCTGGGACTTTGCTGGACAAGATGTTTACTATATTACTCACCAGGTATTATAGCCAGAATAATAATCACATTTGTAATTTATTGACATTGATGAAGTATGCTGTCCCTTTGATGTCAGGGTTGTTTGTCCAATTCCCAGCAGACATTAACATTTCTTACAACTATAAAAAAAATCTTTAAGCTTCATACTTTTGCATTTCATTAAATATTTGTTTGATTAGAAGTTCAACAGTTTGTATGTATTATTTTATTCATTGTGTATTTGTTCAGGTGTTTCTGGTATCTCGTGCTATATACATTCTGTGCTTTGATCTCCGTCACGACCTCAACAAACCTGTTCCTGTGCTAGAAGGCGAAAAGGTAACCTACTAAAGTGGTTTAAATTTTAATAAAGTTAGGATTCTTTAAATGTACTGAACATACCAAATTATGGGTATATATGTATATGTATTGTACGTGTTTGTATGTTTTATATAAGTGTATATACATCAGTTCTAGAACCATAATGCCATAGAGCAAGCTTCCAGAGTACAGACTATGATTGACAACAACCAAATGCAGTGGGCTGGTCTAGCCCAGTGGCGGCGCTAGGGTGGGGGAGGAGGCTAGGCAGGGCTACATCCCACCGTTGGAGAGGTCTTTTCCCCCTCACGGAGTGAAAAATCACAATTCGTCGGGGAGAAAAAAAATTAAAAAAAATTATATGTATATTATACATATTAATAGACAGTGAAATTTATTAAATATGCCTTTGAAACCCATTGTCATTTTCAGAAGGCTACGTCCCCTGGACCACTTTCAAAAGGTTTTTAGCGACGCCTGACCACACCTATTTTTTTTCGTCTGTGACATCAGCTCCCCCCCCCCCACCCAGTTGTGGACTTTGGAACCCTCGTCTGGGAAAACCTGGCGCCGCCACTGGTCCAGCCTACAATACAAACTCAAACTCAAGAAGAGGTATACCGATTGTATTAATTACAATATTAATTCTGGGTATTAATATCAACAACAGATAAGATTAATTGAAAATCATGCAGACTGACAACACTCGATGAAGGAAAGATGCAATAGCTTTTGAAGAACAGCATGTTAAGCATGCTAGCTTAAGATGGTTTTACGGAAGATCGAGGTATACATTCCTGATCGGACACAGACCGGGCATGCAGACATGTTCTGTTGTCTAAAGCAGGATATGTTAATCAAATTAAATCCAAGTGCCAAAATTATAAATAACATTTGACAAACCACAAGTCAAAGGATGGGGCTTATCGTGAAATTAGTATTGGAAATAATGAGGTGCACATGAAATGCAAGATTAGGTTGTCCTTTAGGTAGTAAGGTAATTTCTTCAAAAAGATTCTAATAATTTCTATGCTCAAGTTTATAATTTGTATTTTATTGTACAGTGAATGAGTAAATTCCAAATTTATTTTTTACGACTTTTGTCATCATCCCCGTCACAAGTGTTCTCCTTTTATGCCTTGCTTAATGCAGCCATTTCAGTATTGCTTTGGTTGACATCTGGAACATATTCCCAATTTTGAGAAATTGTTTTTAGCAGACGGGGATCTTCCTTGCTGCAGACATACCCAAACCATCGCAGTCGGCCACAACCAATTTGTAAATTTTTTGGATGGGTACTAATCAAGACTATCCAGTGCAAGTTGTAGATCCGCTGCTGTTGATCTTACAATAGAAACATGTTTTAATGGAAAAGGTTTCTGTAAGATCACCATCAATAAGTACTCTACCTTCCATACCGTTATGAGAACTAGCTATGATGTTTACAAGTCTTAGAGGTATTCCAAAAGTAGCTTCCAAGCAAGTGTATGATCCAGAATCAAAAGCTTTTACTAGATCAACAAACACAGTATTTGAAGATCACTGTGTTGTTCACATGATTTTTTCTGTAGTTTTTGCAGTACAAACAAATATTGGTTGTGGAACAGAGGTTTGGGCACCTTGGACCGGATTTATCAAACTAGAAATCAGCTTAATTTGGTCTTAAGTTCATTTTTTTGCTTACAAGTCAGACTTATTAATTTTGCTTTAGCTTGAACATTGCTTAAGATTAAAATGTCGATTGTATGCATGCGCCATCTAAGTCCATTTTTAGTTCCAATGCACTGTTTTCCCTGTGTGTATGTGTGTGTGCGTGTGTGTAGACATTTATGCAAATGTGCATGCATAAAAAAAAAGGTTTTCCGACATTAACTGGATTGTGTCTATTATTCCATCAAAATAACACTGCAATACCCGCTGCTTATTTGGACTCGAATTCAACCCTTGCCATAAGACGCAAGCTCGGTGGTCTAGCAGTTTGATGCCAGGCTAGTGATCTGGAAATCGTGGGTTGGAGT